TATCATGATAAAAATATTCATGACTATTAGATAGTCAAATTAAGTGTTTTTCCAAGATTTACCAAGCAAATATACATTATTGCAAAAAACACAAAACTTCCACCGGCAATAGGAAACGAACCTGCATCGCACACTTACAAACCAAGACACTTACACTGCGCCATCTTAGCACTTAGAGTGGTTGCGGAAGTACACCATATTGTAGGTGGCCTCAGGAAACAAACGTCCATATCTTCTTCCAGAAAACCGTTTCGCAGATATGGAAGACAGATTTGAGTTTCCCATAACTTGTTATTATGGAATGTATCTTATTTTGAATGGCCACTTCGAGTAAAAGCATTCCCTTGTAAGCAAGATAAATTTCGCAGTTCGATGAACTTGAGCAACATACTTACTTCAACTGTGAATTGAATAATAAGCACTAAGAAATTGATAGCATTGTACGACACTTATGAACCATGACATTCTGTCTTTTCTCAAGAAAAGTTGAAATTAACAATTATCCACTCTCTTTTACCTTTTTTTGCGAGTGGATGGGGAAATTTCCTATTTATCTTTCATACTGTTCTAGATAGTAATTTCAAATTTTCCAAGCTGAACATAGGGCTTTCACTTCCATTAAGCTAATCTAAACTCTTGACAGCAAGAGAAATCTTCATTAATATGCGCTGATGAAGTTCAAGCTTCATCGTAGAGACGAAACCAGTACCATTTACAGATGTGCGCTTGTAGCAATCATCAATAGTCACAAGTGAAATCCAAAACAGGTTGAGCGACAAGAATCGCGCACATCTGATTGACAACTTTCAAGAATGCTAGGGAGCTCGAATGTAACAATTGTTGCGAACACTACAGGTTTATCCGGTTTCTTGGAGATGTCCAACTTCATGGAAAGGAAAATCGACTTCTAAAAAAAGTTGAAAAGCGCTGAACAATTTTCATCAAACAAATCACCACAGATGAAATCCTCTCCTTCATAAATAGGCACCACTGCTGTCGCATAACTTATCCTTCCGAAAAACCTGCCGCCCAAGCCAAGAAAATCGTTCTTCTTCCATTTGCATATGGTCATGGTCATGTTATTTAGCAAAAAGCCGTTTCGTCTCATTCCTATGCAACCGGTTTATCAGTGATCATCGCTGCAGAGACCACATATCAACTTTCACTCGTTAGCGATTTATGCTCTATCCGAAGGGCACCGCAGACGCTGGAATATATGGTTATTGCAAAAGAAGTAATCTGGGGGTCATTCGAATGCAAACAAAATTTGCAATTTGCACCACCCTAGCTCTATTTTCCCAACAAGAGGGAATTCTCAACATTTCTGTTTTCGATAACTTCGACTCATCAAAGAAAGCTGTTATTGAGAAATTTTTCTCTAAATGAAAAAGCAATC